TATTTCATTACCCTAGTAGGTAATATCATCTATCTATCTATCTATCTATCTATCTATCTATCTATCTATCTATCTATCTATCTATCTATCTATATATCTATATATAATCAAAAGAGCAGTGTGGGGTATAGAGCAGTGTAGTGGTGAAGATGTTCATCTGATATTCGGAAAGTTGAGTGTTTAATCCTAGGTAGTGACAGATGTTTCTCTCCTAGGGCACAAAGAAAAAAAAATTGCTGTGAACTTTCTGCGGCGTCAGGAAGGGCATCTGGCCAGTAAATGCTCAGCTCAATCCAGTCGGAATTTAGGGATTAAAGAATCATGAAAAGAGAGTAGTGAACTGATGGTATTACTAGTTGGATAATGAAACCTCAGCAAATTAAAAACACCAAGAATTCCATAGTTCAACCCTGAGCTAAATATTGTCTTTCTATTAGATGCATCATAAACATTAAGTACCTAGACTTATTTTTTAATTGACTTGAAAAGTATTATTGAAGCACGTTACCATTTTTCAAATCTTCATAGCCCATGGAGTGCTGAATTTCTTTCAGTGTGGAACCGTGAGCACCGAGCTCCACCATCCCCATCGTTATTGCTATTCCCAGCGGGGAGAAAATAATATTTTCATCTTCTCCTGTAGCTCGCAGCTGATTGTAAACATTCACAGAAAAATCTGCAATGGTTTCATCAGGAAAACTGGTGCTGAAGGCTTCGCTGTGCAAAACAAGAAGCAACAGGAGTCCAAGAACAAACATGGTCGAAGAGTTTCAGATCTGCAAGGCAAAGAAGGAGGAAAGAAAATGAATCTTACATTGTGCACACATGATGGATTGGTGGGATCATTAAATCAATATGTGCCTAGTGTGAAGGAAGGATGTTTTTCTGGATTTTAAAAAAAGCTCCCCACTGAGGGAAAAAAGTCACTCAAAAAATGGAACTCAGAAAAAAAGAAACTGTGTTCAAACTAGTGGCTCCAAGAAGGTTAGAATAGAATAGAATAAAATAGAATAGAATGGAATAGAATAGAATAACAGAGCTGGAAGGGACTTCTAGTCCAACCCCCTGCCTAGGCAGGAAACCCTATACTGTTTCAGACAAATGGTTATCCAACATCTTCTTAAAGACTTCCAGTGTTGGCGCATTCACAACTTCTGGAGGCAAGCTGTTCCACTGATTAATTGTTCTANGTGATCTTGATTCTATCCCTCTGTTTATGCAGCCTAGAACTGTGTTGGCTTTTGCTTTTAAAAATGTTCATGGTTGCTAATTTCCTCCCATCCCTAATCTTTAATCTATTTAAGTAAAGCAATACTTTCAAAAAATAATACAAAGTGAATTTAGTAGAAATAATAGTTGTAATTTGGGATGCTTTTATATTATTACAAGTTGGGTATCACATTTTCTCATTGTGATACCTATTTCTGTATTTGCTTTCTTCTTGTCTCCTTTTTTTTACAGAAATATATAGGCAAAGTATCTGTCTACAAGGGAAAACATGACTAGCTAATAGAAGCAACATGCTTGATCTGACAATCATCAGTTTTTATAAACATACTTATCTGCCTTTAGGTTTCCTGCTTTTAATTGGAACTCTCCAACCATTTATGATAAATATTTATTCAGATCTTCCAGCTGTTTAAAATTTGCTATATTATTCTATAAATTTCTACTTTGCTCCTTTAAGGTTTTCTTGAAAAGTTATACTAATGATGTTTACTCTAGCTGTAAACACTGTATTTTTATAATATTAACTACCTCTATTCCTGGTGTGTGACACAGATATACCTGAGCTACGTTTTTTTGCATAAAGGTTTGTGTGTTTGTGTGTGTGTGTGTGTTTAAAATAAAACTTACAATTTTATATGGCACTGTCAATTATTATTTCCCTCTCCACTGAAGGCTATTTTCTGAACATGAATGTAGGACAAATGATGATCAAAATAATAGCACAGTTTTCTTATTAAATTTGTTTGCATTTCCTTTTCAGAAGAAAAGTCCTTTCTTGATTCCCTGGAATTTTCCAGTTGTCGATTCCAACCATCAATCAGATACTCAAGAGAATTATGTCAGTTCTTTTCCTTTTTTAAGATCTAGTACCTCTATTTTTCTCCCCGTGTTTTTTTCTTGGCTTTGCCTCAGGACATCATATGAGTAAACTTCTTCTCTATTTTCAATGGAAAAAGAGAAATTGTGTCTGACCTCCTAAGTATGTGAACAAGACCTGTTTATGAATATGAATTTAGGATGTCTGTAATTTGCTGGGTCAGATGTGCTCTGTGTCCAAGCTAACAGCTTGTGTCAACAGATGCAACATAGACAAACAAAAGATTGTCACAGAACATACATTAAACTAAATAACATTTTCTCTTTTAATATTAGGGTCTCATCTTCCTATGCAAAAGATCACATTTCTAGCAATATGAAGATTCACCTAAACAGATCATCACTCCTGTTCAGAATAATAATAAGAAGAAGAAGAAGAA